TCTGCAAACTTCAGGAGTTTGACAGAGGGATGCCAATCTGCATCATTTGCATGCAATCGGCTAGTAAAAGTCGAAAAGGTTCGCATGTATTTGAATAAATGTAAACCTGGATTTGGCTGTATCAGATAATGCAGTAAAATGATTGTTTTGCCTTTGCCTTTGCCACCTCCCAGTCTCTGAGCTACTGTATCTGATCATCCCACTCAGTTATATCAGCGCTCATCTGACCCTTTGTCAGCAACTCATCCACCAGAGACCTCACAGTCTAGTATCTTGTGCCACACATTCACCATTATGCATGGATGATTGGATGTTACACTGCGATGTAATTTTTTACATGGAGCAAAAGTCACAGGATTAAAGGCCCAAGGTTTGAGGTCAGGCTTTATACACACCACTTAAAAATTGCAGGCCTTATTCTGAAAATCAGACTTTAATTTCAGTGCTGTTTGCATCCTTTGGTCATTCAGAGGCATGATTTCCCAAGTGCTGCCTCTGCTTCCTTCTTCTTGAGCCAGGATAAACAGAAATAATGTGCTCCATCACTCCCACTGCTGTGTGAGGGTGTTTTTAGCTGCCAGTGAAGAATCGCAAAGCAAATTCCTCCTCCTATCCGGTGCCAGGGTTTACGCAATACATGATTCACTCCAGGGGCAGATATTGTGATCTCACTCACATCTTCTCTGTGGCTATAATCCTGCTCACCCATTTTCACATACAACATATGCACAGATTGTATACTGTGTATTAGATGCACAACAGCTTACACCTGAGAGTTTCATTAAATCACAAGTTGTGTTGGCATGTTGTAGTCCCTAAAATGAGATTAGCAATATTTTCCACCATAAATGTGAGACTGGGAGGGGAGACAGCAGTGTGGTATCTGTGTGTGTGGAGCCAGGGAGCTAATCTTCAGGACAATAACACAAGGTTGCTAGGCATGTGAGCACAGCCGCAACACTGATAAATATGTGCTGGACATGTTGGCATTGTATAATTGCTTGGATACAGCCACACAAGCTTTATCAACGGCCTTAGCAACAGCAGTGTTGCCTTGTGTAAAGAAGGCAGAAAATAATCTGAGGTAAAGACGAGTCTAAGATTTTCATGTTAGAAAAAGAAGAAAAGATCTCAAGATATGGATGACAACTGGAAATCAATGTTTTATTTTCTTCTTGAAAACCTGAAATAAATTGGAAAGGCGTTAAATAGATCGGATATTCCCTCCAAGGCCCAACAGTCAAATTCAATCAAGCTGCTTCGAATTGCACACACTCATAGATATCAGTCTCCTAAACATGCTGGATTTTTCATCAAGATCAAGCATGACTAATGCCCTGGGAAATCAAGGAAAATGTCAAAAAAACATCCTCTTTCACAAAATTTTGTTTACCTGGATTTGCCCTTTCATCCGGATCTGCACCAAAATTGAATGGGTTCTGCCCTGATCCATTCCACATTCTTCAACCATAGTAATCTGTCCAGTAGTATTTGTATAATCTTGTTTAGACACAAAGCAACCTACCAATGAACAAACAAATAGGGGTGAAGACAAAAAAAGCATTAATCATAAAGATGTGAAAATTGATTAGCAATATTTACAGTAAGAGGGAATCTTTGTATCCATCAGCACAGTGATACACAACAGCACTGCAGGCGACACCTCCACTAACCACTGTAAGAATATCATTAACACATCCTGCACCTAAGATGATAAAAACTGTATCCGACAGCTGAAGTAAAAGTCTCCTCACGTGCATCATCAACATGATGCATTACGTGCTTAAAACCGTGAGTGACAGAAAAAGGAGGAAAAGGGAGCAGGAGCAGGGACTGCAGCTCAGCTCCTCTGCCTGCTCAGCAAGAGCTATTTTTAATTCATGAGAGACAAAGGAGCAGAATCGTCCTTTATCCTCTCTCTCACTAACTATTGTTTTGCCTCCAAATGTGGCACTTGAAGACAGCGTGCACGCCTTACAGCTATGTTTAGGCCTAACCTCAAATAAATGAGAATGCCTCTCCATCTGCCCTTGAGTCTTTTTTTTCTCATCCTGCTATTCGTGCACATTTTCTCTGCTGGCCCATACTGTATGCGGAAGGGGTGCTATTTTTTTCCAAGGCTGAAGGCCAAGGTATAATTACCTCAGAAAGGCATCTGAGCTAAAGAGTAAGGAAGCAGCTGTGGAGATTTTCTTTTATATTGCACTCTTTGTACTGTTCTCCTCACTGGATGTGTCTTAGAGGAGAAAGAAAGTGGTTTAAAGTGGTAATAACTGTGCACTTCCAGTAGAATATGACCTGATGCTGCTGATGTCAAGGACAAACTAGCTCCTAGCTGAAGACTGCGAGGGAAAATTCATCTGAGCGGAACAATTCTGTCATCACTGGTTAAATGCTTGGGATTTTTATTCATTCATTTAACTTTTATTTTAACTAGAGACCTGATTTACAATATGATAAATTTCAAAGAATAAACAAAACATTCCAAGACACAAAGAAAACACAAATAAGAAACAGCATAAGGGATTCAAATTTGATTTAAAGCAAATGAATCAATTAAAACAAATGAATAAAATATAATAAGAACAGCTAGTGGTAAAATAAGATAAGAATAAAAATGATTTGAGCTTTCAGATTGTTCTGTAGGTTAATGCACATTGAGAAAAACTGGATTTTCCGAACTCAGTAAAAAACATTTGGCACGTGCAGTGTGAGCCAACTCATTTGAGTATATTTGATGCAAGCCCACATTAAAAGACAGCAGTGATGTGAGGGGGATCTTTTCAAAATATAATAGGATACGGAACTGGGTTTTAAAAATATACCAAGAACAAGACAATAAACAGAAATGTAAAATATATACTTACACTTTTTTTGAGACTCATGGGTCCACATAAAAATAATATAAAAATAAATAAATAAATAAATACAGAAAAACTATTTTAAAATTCAATTATCGCACTTTACACAGGGATTAAATACACATCAGACTTTTGTTCCAGTGTTTCCATAAACAAGATGAGTAGTGTTGTGTTGGTTAAGGCCTTTATGATAAAAATTTTTTGAAGTCACATAATTAGAATATAAAATTATGCAGAAATATACCAATAATACAGTTTATACATCTGAAAATAGCTTACAGATTAAGGTGTAATGTTCTGACAGGGTGAAATAAGTCAGTGGCCGGTATATTGATCATAAACCATATTTTAAAAAAATGTTTTCCTATTGATTAATGATATGTTTATAGCATGAAATAAAACGAAATAAAGACATAAATCACTAAAATAATTTTTAACTGTTTTACTGATTTAATTTTTTTTTTAAACTTTCTTAATGTGCATCTTTTTTGGGTACATAAGAAAGCTGTGTGTTATACATCCATTATAAAGATGTAACTCTATAGATCTATAACCAACAACCTCGCACTGACATAGTTTCTCATTTCATCTGATCTGTTGCTGGTAAATCAGACAAAGAGAATTCAAAGAGGAATCTCCCCAGCCCACTTTCTTCCTTCTCCTGTATCTGGGGTTGCAGAGACACCTAGTGGCCGTAAGTGTTCTTGTCTCAGTGTTTCACTTTGAAGTTGCCTAGGCATACTGTACATGTGTAACATGGAAAGGCGGAGGTGTTTGAAATAACTGCTCCTGAATTCCTTTGTGGAAGTGCCTGCAACAAACATAGCGACAGGCCCACAGCTGAGCCCCCTCAGAGCCAGAGTACAGTGGAGATTCATTGGGACCATTGGGACCATTTTAAGCACGGCAGCATTGTACAGGGAACTCATATTACTAACACAGGTATGGCAGGCATCCTGTCCACTTGGAGTAAGAGTTTAAATAAGAGGTCGCCAGCTGATGTCCCTCGGAGCCCAGACCATGTCGGAGAGTCACTGCTGACAGTTGTAGCCCAGTGTCTGGATTATCATAACAACCCAGCGACAAGAGGTAGGATCTCACAGATTGGACATATTACCTCCACTATTTTATCCCAGCACACACAGGAGCTGGGGGCTTATTGTAATTTGAATGTGCACAGAAAGAGTTTATTTTCAGGTAGAAGTAGAAACGAGAGACCGTGTCTGAAGATGTTCCAGCTCACAATAGAGGGTTAACTCACTTCACATAGCACTGATGCTAAAGATGTTTACATGTCTCATCCATCTGATATCTATTTAGAAGGGCCTTGATTTATGGATTTAATGACTGACCGGATGAATTACAATTAAATAGACTTAATAGGCACATGCACTCAACAGCAAAACAGGCACAACACAATAATGCATGTTTGTATAATATACCTTTGACATGTAGATTAGTTGACTGTCCTTTGCTCACACCACTCAGTTGCTGGTGTGTGCTCCTCAGGTAAGTATTTGCTGCTTTGGTGCTGTGTAGTGGAGCATGCAACTTTTTTTTAAGGCACCAAACAGTTCACAGGACACCTGACAGGAAGCAGTTATCACTGTAAGGACGAAGCAAAAAATACTTCCTGAGACATTCATCATGAAAGAGTGTGATGATAGCAGGCCAGGCTTTGAATTCCACCCTGCCACTCAGTGTGCGTACAGAGTAAACATGTACTAAAGCTAAAAGTGCAGCAGTAAACCTCAGAGTCCTCATGTCTCAGGTTTGCCTACGTATCAAACCTTTATTTTGTAATAGGAGCTTAATAAAATCCAGAGAAAGTCACAAATAACATAAAATTTTAACTTTTGTATTTTTTTTGTAGTTGTTTGTGTCTTTTTGTAGTACTTTTGTCTTTTTTTTGGGGGGGGGTGGATCCAGGAGGTTTCTTTTCACTTACTTTCTGGTGAGATGGAGAATGTTTAACATGTTTATGGGACTGATATTTATAACTATGTACAAATTGGTGCAGATCCCAAAAACTGTGGATTGATTGAAACTAAATGTGCTTTGTTGGGCCATGGTGAAGGTGAGTTTGTCTCCTCAAATTAGTTTGTTTTACTTTGTGTTTGTGTCTTTTGACTCTTTAATCGTCTTTTTTTGTGTTTCTTTGTGTGTTTGTGTTGTTATCTTTCTACCACATGCCATTCATCCCTCATTCAGTCAGGCCTTCAGCATCACAAGATGTGAGAGTGGCAGCTGGAAAAAACATGAACCAAGGGCATAACGGTAAATATTATACAGTGAGGTCAGCTGATCCCATCTGCCCTCGGCTCAGGATATGTACTTCATTAAACTGATAATAGGGAAATCTGAACAATGCGCTCTTGCTTGGATAAGCAGTTTCACACCAGTGCTGTGAGCTGGAGCAACTTCTCAGACTGTCCCCCTCCACTGCTTCATGCTGTGACACTGCAGACTCAGTAGCTTTTTTAAATAGGCAGAGATATGAGGATGGATTTATTTAAAATTTACTTTTCTGCTGTCGTTCAGATCGCCTTTTCTCACCCGATGGCTATGATACTGTTTCCATTTAAGTTCAGTTTTAGCCATTTCACTTAAATCGTTTCAGATTTTCACGGGTCTGATTAACTTTAGAGTGAATATACTTTTTTATTGCTGTAGTGAAAAATGTTTTAATCACTGTCAGTTTTGATAAATGAGAAAATGATCAAGCTAAAACAGAGAATTCATGTAAAATATTTCAATCTGAAATGTGGACAATATGTACTTTAATTTTGAACAATATATTTTCATGGTATAAATGTGTTTCCTCCCTTATAGCTGACACAGAAGGCCATGCAAGGTCAAGCTCTGAGCCTGAGTGAGACTGCCTGTCCCACATATCATTGAGGACACCAGCCATTCCATATAAGTTATTAGGTAGGAAGTCACCTGGCTCTTTTTTGCTGGACTGTAATGCAAGGGGTGAGGTGACATTTCTGACCGTGTGCGTCTCCATGTTTAGCTGAAATCAATACAGTTATGTGTGGAACTTGAGGCCCTGGAAGGGCAACGGTCAGCGTGTCTTTACAGAGGAGAAAAGTTGGGAAGTTGTCAGACTCGAGCATAAAAAAATACACGTACGTGTGTGACTGTTGTGAGCACATGCAGCATGCAACCTCGCATGGAATGTTTCGAGGAAACTTTTACGGGCTCCTTTAGATGTCTTGTGTCACTCTGGGGTTGTCTCTCAGCAACATTTCCCCATCGCAGCTGGGAATGTAATACAATAAGGAAATTACTCATCGAAAAGGAACTCGTTGGCTTGTTTTCGAGCTTTGCTGCTCCCTCTGGTCAGGTTTTTATCCTCTGCAAAAATTAACATGTTAAAGGGCGGAATGATGACTACAGAAATACCCAACAATATAAAACTTCCATTTCATAAGGACTATTCTGCATCTGAAGGAGAGTAAATAAATAATGTGACTTAATTGTTGACTCCTACTTAATTTATTGCTATGTCCTGTGGCTCATAATACAACAGACTATTGATTTAGACAGGGCCATGACATCCCAGATTTGATGTGAGCAAATGACCGCACACGCTTTACAACACGGTCACGTAAAGACATTTGTCATAAATCATGTTTGTGAATAAATACCTGACAATTTCATGAGTGGGTTTGCATTGACCCTCACCTTGACGCTAACGCTCGGCAAACCCAAAACTAATAACTCATGATGTCTCAGCCGCCCATTCTTTTGCCTCTGAATCAAGGCTAATGTTGTTTATGGGGCTGAAAGCCTCATGTGCAGCACTGAATACTGTGTTTTGTGCAAATGATATAGGAGCTGCAGGGAGCAAGAGGAGGCACATGCAAAGTGTTGTTGTTGTGTCAAGAGAGGAGCCAATGACTTTGTGTTGACAGCTGAAGTGTACAGGATACAGCAGGTAAGTTTTTTTTTCATGGAGCGCCTCATCAGCATTAACACCTATCAGCTGCCATCTTGTTTACCCTTTTGTAGAGTTGCATTGTGTTCAAAACGTGATGTTTACCTGGGGTACTTCCTGTCCCAGCCCAGCTCCCATATTCAGGCACTGCTGTTTTGCAGGGTTGTCAGGATTCTTATTTCTTTTGTATAAAACTGGACTTATTTTCAAAACAGCAAACATGCACCAAAGGTACAGTAAAATCTGTTGTTCTCTTTAATCGCAAGTTTGTTTTGCGACCGATGGCTTAGGATTTCTGCTCTGTTCATGATCCTGCTGGGGGAAAGTGCTTTTCCCCGTATGCTGCATCACAGCTAAATATAAAATAGGCTGCGATTCTTCACAGGTCTTTTCAACAATCTTTCCGTTCGGCCTCAGCGAGCACAGGAGGACGTAGATCATCTGGAAAGATGTTCTTTGTGGCAGGAGCCAAAAATACAAGAGGGGCGGTGAGAGGAAATGAGAGGAGGTAACAAAGTTTATACAATTCCAGGCCTGAACATCCAGTAAAAAGTAGAGAGAGGTTGGATTTTCATGTCATTTGTCATTTTCCATCATCAGCTCAATCTACCAGAAATTTCGAGAGGTAGATTTATTAGACAAGAAGAAGACAGTGACAGCTCTAAAGCCCGGAGAAGATCGGGCCATTTTCCTTGGTCTGGGAATGATCCTCTCATCTGTCATGATGTACTTTGTCCTGGGGATCACCATATTACGCTCCTATGCAGACAGGTACAGGCCTTTTATTCAAACACCTTAAGTAGGAGTTAACTTCCTGCCAGAATCATGTTTTATTCATCACATGTGCCTTTTGACAAACTGAGTCAGTGCTCTCTCAAGCTGAAAATTGCAAAAATAAATACTTTTTTTGAAACCAGATTATCTGGGACAAATTACACCCCAAACCACGTTGATTTCACACCATAATACCCCTCAAAATGCTTTCTCTTTTGTGCATTGAAATTGGATCTTCATTTAAATGTCAACACAGTGTGTGGACAGAGGAGGGTGTGTGTGTTGTTCGCAACTCCACGGTCACAGCAGACATGAACTGTTCCTACAACTGTGGGTCAGACTGCTGGAGAGTCTCCAAATACCCCTGTCTGCAGGTCTACGTGAGCGTCAATAACACGGGCCGTGTCAGCCGTTTATCTCACAATGAAGAGACCCAGGATGCCAGCTCTGAAGTGAGTACTGTGCCAGAGGGAAAATACAAGGAATTACTGAACCGTTTCAAATGTTGGCAGCGGCTGTCAGATGTTGGCCTGGTTATAGATGCACTCTGCTCCCATGCAGAAAATGTTAGCAGATAGGATTTGTAATTTTTCCTGGTCAAGCTAAAAGAAAATGTATTCAGTGTTGTGAAATAAACAGACATCATTGCCCTCTAAATAACCTCTGTGTGCCTCCGCCCTGTCCTTGCAGTGTTTCTATGTGCCCAGGTGCCAGAAGGACAGCGTGGCCATGCACACCATGATTATGAACATATCAGAGCACTTGAAGGTCAACCAGCAGGTCCCCTGTTACTACGACCCCTCCGAGCAGCAGGAGACCGTTCTCCTGACCCGGCTGTATGACCACAGCGTCGTCCTCCACTCGCTGCTCTGGCCCTCCTGCATGATCACAGGAGGGGCCCTCATCATCATGATGGTGAAGCTCACACAGTACCTTTCCAGACTCAGTGAGGAGATAGGGAAGATCAAGAGGTGAAATACATTCGGCAGCTATGAAAGCCAAGCATATGGTGGTTCAGTGACGGACACGTGATGTGACAAGGATTGTTTGAAGCAAGCAACCTTGGTGTGACCTCTAGCAAACTTTCCTCCTCAGCTGAGACATGTGGAACAGATGAGATTCACTGCGGCCTGAGGATGTGACTGTTTATAAAAGTGGAGTGAATGTTCCAAGGCGGCAACTGTCTGACGTGTAGCTGGCTCTTGTACAAGGAAAACTGGACTGGGTTTTGCATGGTGTTAGTAGATAACAAAAAAACTCTGTAGTTACTTGTTTACAAGGAAGTTCATTCTACCAGGAAATTTAAATCCAGTGTATTATATGACACCAATTATATTGCTAATGTTTTTATGATAATGCCAAAAAACAGACATAGCAAAACACTGTCCTGTCTGTCCAAAGATGTCTTCTGTGTTTGTGCAATGTTGTACAACTCTGAGAATTTGTCTTTGGTGTATTGAAATCCAAATTGTTTTCTGAAACAATAATATATTCTTATTTTATACTCACCACCACGATGACCAATTATGACTAATGACCAGTATGCAGTAGGCCTTTTATCTATTTTTGTATATACATGTATATTATTTTAATGATATTGTGCTACACCTACACCAAATATTTGAAAAGCACTTTTCATAACAATGTAACACAAAGAGCTTTCCAGAAAAAAGCCAGACAAAGACACATCCAAGGCAAGACAGCATTTCCAGGAACTGAGGAAATGCTGTCGAAAATCGCATAAATTTGAAATGTGGATAAAATAAATATGATAAAAATAATAAATAGAATATTAAAATAACAAAAGAAAAATGAAATGAATAAATCTGAAACATTAAAAGACAAAAAAGATGTGAAAATGATAAAGAGAATAAAAAAATGCTTAAGAAGATGTGAAAAGAATAAAGATAAAATAACAAAATGCTAAAAGGGATGTGAAAAAGATGAAGATAAAATAATACATTTCTTAAAGAGATGTGCAAATGATTGAATAATACAATACTGGAAGAGACGTGAAAAGAATAAAAGTACAATTATAACATTCTAAAAAAGACATATCAAAGACATTATCAAAAATGATAAAAGTGAAATAAAGATAAAAAAGAGGAGTACGTACCAGAAATAAAAAGTGGGATATTAAAGTAAAAACATTCAGACAAGGCAAACAGCTAGGCAAACAATTGAATAAATAAAAGGATACATTCGTTAAACAGAATAAGATGTATAAAGTTTATAAAGGTTTAAAAAAGTATAATCAATCAATAATTCTGTTTCCTGCAGAATCAGAAGTTCACTCTTGCATCAGAGGATAGAAAAGTTCACGAAAAACTCTCCTCTGTCTGGATCTAAATCCCATGATCACATAGCTTGAATTCCATTGAAATACAAAATAGTCAAATTGATGAACACACACTGATAGACACACAATGGGGTAATAAGATCTCTGCGTCTGTCAGTTCCACTTCCTCACTCCACTTTTCCTCCGGGAGGATCCACCCGGACACCCTCATGCTGCAGGGAGGATCGCTCCTGGCTCCACATATGGATCAATATCTGCAGAACACACCACCAGCTCAGACACTCCTCTCATGTGCTTTTCATTGGACTTTCTACAGAGGAAGAGCCGCTTGCTGTGAAACCCCAGTTTCACCTCATGACACTGTGTGAGTGTGTGTGTGTTAGTGTGTGTGTGAGAGAGAGAGAGAGAGAGAGAGTGTGTGTGTGTGTGGGCGGTGCGTACTGTTGATGAGGGGCCAGCTAGCAATCCTCGAGCTGCTGCTAGCCTTGCTGCGCGGAGCTAGCTCGCTACCAAACTGTTAGTGTGTGTGTTTTCGGGACAGCACGACGGAGAGCATTATGAAGCATTATACATTTATTCCACTGCAGCAGATTGGCAACTCTACCGGGAGCTAGGGGCGTCTTTTTGTTCCACTGAAGCGGGACTGTCCCGGGCCCTCGGTAGCATTGTTTGGATGAAGTACGGCTGGAGAGCTAGCACCGCTGGCTGAGACTTCCATAGCGGGCACGAATGGGACTTCCAGAGCTAGCCGCGGCTAACCGGGCGGTGTTAGCTATCTGACACAGGTAGCATTATATTTGTTTTTTCTCCCCTCATGCTTTGTTGTGTGTTTGCTTTTACTTTCAACTAAACCAGTTTCACAGATTCAAAACAAACTGTGGGGTCGCACCCGTGTTATTGTAGTAACGTCACATTAGCTTGTGTCTGAGCGGATGTTTTTCATATTTTAAAATGACATTGATCTGCTTAGTGGACCTGGCTAGCATGGTGAGCTAGCTAGCAATGAAACAACACACAACAGCAGCAGCATTACAGTGGGACCAGTCGAATCGACTGTCAAGCGTGGGCTGAAAGCTAAACCTTAGCAGTGTTAGCCACACTGAACTAAGTGTGGGTGTTTGCTAGCAAGTTTGTTTACATGGGTTTTTCATGTGCTTTTCATTTGACACCACTGATAGCTTAAATTCACTAAAGCTAAAGTTTGCATTGACAAGCTGTGTTATCTTTGGCCTTGATGCTAACGTCATAATAATTAAATTTACAAAGTGATATCTCTGTGTTGCAAGTTATATAAGTTGTTAGCGTGTTGCTATTATTTGTGTAAATATCTCCACAGCTGTGTGCAGTGTGGTGAGCTCATGAAAAACAAAACCCTGTTACTAGTACTCTGTAATATTGCTGTAGGCTTTCCTATGTCATGTAACTACATTATAGAAAGGTTTTGGCAGCTCATAATAAATTACCCTCAGAAGTGTGCATTTAACTTTAACATGTTTATATTCTTCTCCCATACATATACACCATCTCTGAAGTCAGATCCTAACCACTACCTTCTGTACTAGTACTGTACACAGGTCAATGGTTGTTATATAATTCTGTTTCCTTCTCTCTCACAGTGAGTAGTCGTCACTCATCTGATAATTACCAGCCTCTGAAAAGAGAAGATTTGCTGGCACAACCATGCCTCCCAGGCCCTCCTCAGGAGAACTATGGGGGATGCACTTGATGCCCCCCAGCATCCTAGTGGACTGCCTTCTGCCAAATGGCATGATTCTTACATTGGAGTGCCTTCGGGAGGCCACGCTGATCACAGTCAAGCATGAGCTTTTCAAAGAGGCCAGGAAGTATCCTCTGTACCATCTGCTGCAGGAGGAGAGCTCCTACATCTTTGTCAGTGTCACCCAGGAGGCAGAGCGGGAGGAGTTTTACGATGAGACCAGGAGGTTGTGTGATCTCAGACTCTTCCAGGCCTTCCTCAAAGTTATTGAGCCAGTGGGCAACAGAGAAGAGAAAATTCTAAACCGAGAGATAGGTATGGTTCGTTGACATCTTACGTAGTTACAAAACAATCTGCTACACCATAGAGTAATATACTATAACAGCTGTTGTCCTTGGCAATGTCATTACCCAGAGTGAGGAGGATTAACATAATACCATTGGGTTTAACTGGTCACACCATATATTGTGTTATGAAATGCAACGTATTGTTTTACGTGTCATGAAAAATCATTTTGATGTCGAAGGACTCGCAACTAATTTTTATTATTCACTTGCTCCCTTGTAGGTTTTGCTATTGGAATGCCTATATGTGAGTTTGATTTGGTGAAAGATCCAGAGGTGCAGGACTTCAGAAGAAACATTTTAAATGTTTGCAAAGATGCTGTGGACCTCAGAGACAGTAACGGACCCCACAGTAGAGCTTTATATGTGTACCCTCCCAATGTAGAATCCTCAGTAGAACTTCCCCGGCACATCTATAACAAACTAGATAAAGGTAAGACATCTTACTCCAGGCACTGGGAAGCAAATGTTCACTGCAACGAGAACATCACAATATATTTTATAAACATTCACATTTTTCTGTTTGCACCTTCACTGGGTGTGTTGCTAAAATTATTCTTTAAATTTTCTTTCCCTCAGGTCAAATCATTGTTGTCATTTGGGTTATTGTGTCACCCAGCAATGACAAACAGAAGTATACCCTCAAGATCAACCATGACTATGTGCCGGAACAGGTGATTGCGGAAGCCATCCGTAAGAAGACGCGCAGCATGCTGCTCTCCCAGGAGCAGTTAAAGATGTGTGTGCAGGAGTATCAGGGAAAATACATCCTCAAAGTGTGCGGCTGTGACGAGTACTTACTGGAGAAATACCCTCTGAGTCAGTACAAGGTAATCTAATTTAATCATAGCTTAACTGATGCTATTGCACTTAAAGGGGGAAGAGATCCGCTTCATGTCAAATTAACATCCAGTTCAGAAAATATGCTGCCCGTATAATGTGCTGATTCAAGAATAGACCATACATGTCTTGGTATGTTAAGTACAAAGTGCATTATTGTTATTGTAGAGTTGTAATTGTAAAATTCAGTAATTCAGATGTTAATAAACCTAGGAATATGAATCGCTTCAAAATGTCAAACAGCATGAATTCCTTCAAAATGTCAATTTGACTGTGCTCAACAGTATGTGCGCAGCTGTATCATGCTTGGACGGATGCCCAACCTGATGCTAATGGCAAAAGACAGCCTGTATACCCAGTTGCCCATGGACAACTTCACAATGCCGTCGTATGCAAGGCGAATATCCACAGCAACGCCCTACATGAATGGGGAAACGGCCACCAAGGCTCTGTGGACAATCAGTGGGACACTGAGGATCAGGATACTGTGCGCCACTTACGTCAATGTCAACATCAGAGACATCGACAAGGTACAAATGCAGTACAACAGTGTGGTGCTGGAACTACTTTATGTAGCTTTCTTTAAAGACTCTCTGCTTTGTTCTGCATTGCCTTAAATAAACTCTTAACATTTCCAGTACTTGACCCATTCAGAAATTGAGTGAAAGATACCGTTATCACTCAGGGACTTTTTATATAAATATGTTGTTCTTGCGACTGCTTTAGATCTATGTAAGGACTGGGATCTACCACGGTGGAGAGCAGCTGTGTGACAATGTCAACACACAGCGCGTGCCCTGTTCGAACCCCAGGTAATACACGATGAGGAGTAGTGTTTTATACTCTGGAATTTCTCTCAGCTTTGCATCAGTAACAATATCTATTATGGTAATGGTTGTTTCCTTGTTTATTACAGGTGGAATGAGTGGCTGAACTACGACATGTACATTCCAGACATCCCCCGTGCCGCCCGACTCTGCCTCTCCATCTGCTCTGTGAAAGGGAGGAAGGGAGCCAAAGAGGTCAGCAGTGAAATTCTGCATTGAAGTTGTATATAACTTGAGTGCAGTTCAATTAAAGAAAGGTAGAGAGGAAAGATTTTTGTCAGGACATCTTAGGTATCACAGCATTTACAACACACACCAGAGGTTGTTACATCTTTATAGATAAAAGAAATGTAGGCC